TATATATATATATTTACATCCAGGTCAATCATTTGCTTCCATCAACATGCACGGCACATTACATCTTGACTCCATGACTATATTGATACCATATATCGGACTCAAAATAGTTAACTCGATTTCTGCCGCTCTAGAAGACCAGAGATGCTTCAATCTTTACAGATTCCTACGCGATTCTCCAGCAGAGTCTGTGTTGAGTTTTTGTTCTATGATACCTGGCACCAGATGGCCGCAATTAAATAATGTGTGGATGCAATTTATTACTACTTTTGTAACAAAAAAATACGATTTTAGTTCACAGAAATTCCGCTACGCGGAGGCATAAATATGCTCACTGGAGCTTTGCCTTCATTCCGTAGATTATTTTGGTTCCTCTTATAAAAATCATTGGCAACGCTGCATGTCGCGTCTATACGTATAACAATATGATCTATCCAGTCGTATCTTGATTCCCAACGTTTTGAGTACGATTTTGCAGCCAGTGAGTTTCTTTTGCCTGTTCAACTTGTTAAATACGAGTAACTTTCTTTGAGATCGAAATGGCTAGCAGTCAAGAAGAGGTAAGTTGTGTTTTTACTACCCACGCCAACTGGTGAGGATTGATTGATTCAAAATTTCAGGTGATGAAATTCTGGAATAACAGAAAAACAAATAGATGGCTTTGTAACAGATCATTATCTCCAAATGAGGACAAGAGTGGAAATGATACTAGACAAGAGAAGGTTAGTTTCAACAATGACTAGATTCTTGTAAGTCTTAATAGTCCTTTGGCCCACTTGGATAGAATATTTTGTGACAACCTAACGTTCAAGATTTTGTGAAACTTTTTCTTTACGTTGATTGGGACAAATATTCAATAGCGACAATTCCTTATACGAGGCGTTGTACTTCTCATGCCAATTTTCAGAAAAAATCGAAATCGAAACATGTTTTTTTTTAATATTTCGTGACACAATCCCAAAAATCCATGCTACTCATTTCTGTCAGTCTGCCTGCAAATCTTTGGCACCTCCATATGGATTTTTTTAGGCACAAGATTGCTCCTAAGAGGAGTATGAAAAAGTTTTGAATTTTTTAAAACAAAAAAAAAGGTACAAAAAATGCTCAAACTTTTTTCTGTACGTTTCAGTCCCCTAATCATTTTTCAAAATCTCTTTGGATGGCTCAAAAATTGAGGGATAAGGTGAGGGAAATTTTTTTGCGTTCGTGAATAATCACCCATAAAACTTTAACTGCAGCAATGGTCGTTAATCTTTTAACACTTATCAGAATTTCCTTTCAAAAATCGCATTAGTCATAGTTTTTCATAAGCTATAGACAGTGGCGACAGAAGCATACTAAATATAAGTTATAGCTATATGAACTCAGCATTGCGATTTTTTGGTATCCTTTGGTACTCCAAATGCTGACCCTCTTTGACATCACTTAAGGTGATTTATGTTCTGTTTGAAGTTTTTTATGTTTGAATCTTTAATATTATTACACTAGTTAATTATACATGCCACCTACTTATTTTGTTTTCATATAATAAAATATTGCACTTTTGAGTATTTCTGAGCATTTTCCATGTTTTTTTTCAAGTTGGCCTTGACCAGATAGAACACAATGGATTTAAGGAGCAATAATAGGATAAATTCTAGAAGTTCCACTGAGATTAAAAAATGACCAGCCCCAAATATCGCTTGCCCCCCCCCCCTACCCTAGACGAAATCCTGAACCCGCCTTTGGCTATAGACTTTGAAGTTTACGAATCATATCCATATGTAACTTCTGCAGTGACCTGACAATGAATTGTATATGTGAATTTATTGCCATATCAACAGAGTTATATTTCTAGGACCAACAAAATTCCCCTGCGTCTCCTACATATGATAGCGATGCTGATCCCGAATTTGTTCCAGACACTGAAAGTGAATCAGAGGAAGAACCCAAAAGAAACATTCCCAAACAAAAACAGGTAAATTATGAACGAAGAAGCCAGCAAACATAGGTACAATATGGCCTCCGTTTCTAATACAGCACCATAATAACAGTGATGTGACTTTTCGCCTTCATAAGTTCGCTAAAACTTTGCTTAAAATACACCTGCCGAATTTTTTTAAGGTCGTAGATCATACAAATGACATAAAAAAAGATTGTATGCGCAAAATATAGATAATCGCCACTTGTCAAATCACATGCGCGATCTAGGTTTCGGATGAGCAAATGAAATTAGAACTCTTTGATTATAAAAAAGGATGGCAAACATAAAGCTCATGAGATATTTTACTATTTAGTAGTTTTTTGTTCTATTTTTATAGCCTCATCTATGTACTTTTTATTTCAATACGCGTTAAAACTGTTAGGTTATAAAAATTGCCAAAAAGTCCATCAAATATTAATCCTGCGAATTTGCCATTTGTTATACTTTTTACTTCTCGCGTAAATTGGCGGGGAAGTATTTATAATTGCGAAACATTTCTAAATCAAGATGATACTTTTTTAATGTTTCATGACATGTACATCACAAAACCAAGTTCGTTGTTAGCAATATATGGCATACAGGATGTGGCAAAATACCGTGACGGCTCGACAACTATTTGGGAATACTTTTCAGAAATGCTTCAAATAAGGGTTGTAGGATTATGCGTCACCTATCGGTCGGTGACCTTGGTTTTTACCTTGACTTTGACCTTGAAGGTTAACAAAATTTCAAATAATGTAAAGACCTATTATTGATTCGAGTAATGAAACTGGCGGAACATTTTAAATTCTTAAGCATCACCTTGAGCGATCCTTATATTTCACATTGAGTGATCTTCAACGTCACATCACCACTAATGGGTAACTCTTCCGGAATGCATTTTAGGGTGGAATACTGTAAATAAAAGTTGTAGGATTAATCCTCAGCTATCAGAAGATGACCTTGGATTCGACTTTGACCTTGAAGGTCATTTAAAGGTAGAATTTTAAACGAAGATCCTCATTTTTGCCTCCTGCAATGAAATGAGCGAAAAATATTACGTTTAGATATGTCCTGGGGTGACGCTCATATTTGACCTTGAATAAGCTCCGGGCTACTATACTAAGGCAAGAATTATAGTCCCGGCCAACTAAGACAAGGTTAAAAGCCCTGGCCATATGGTAGTAGTTTCACGTTGAGAGATCACTGTTTTCCAAACTACTATGTTCTTTAATTTTACACTTGATATGACTAGATGATTCACCAATACAGAATTTCAATTTATTAATCATCGCCTGTTTCAGGAAATGGAGAATAAACCGCCATTGATTTGTGCTGGTGAAGGCGAATCTGCAGAGCCCTCTAGAGACGCAGCATCGAAGAAATATAAACGCCAGACCGATATGTGTTACTTCTGTGAGACGGACGTACAGAACTTTGTACGCCATCTACGCAGGAACCATTTATGCGAAACAAAAGTTCAGGAAATATTTTCCCATCAAAAGAATTCTGTAGAAAGGAGAAAATTACTTGCAATTTTGAAGAAAAAAGGCAATTTCATAAAAAATTCAGAAGAGTGCGTCAAACCTGTGAAGAAGGCTCGTTCACCAAGTGCATCTTTTCTTCCGTGCGGAAATTGTCTTGGATTCTACAGATCAAAGTTTTTATACAGACACAAAAAAAAGTGCTTGGAAGGTCAGTCAGCAAAAAATGCTCAATCTGAAGCGCAGAATCTTCTCGTAAAAAATAAAAGAATTGACCAAAGATTGAAAGTCGAAGTTTTTCCCAGAATGAGAGCGGACAAAATATCTCTTGAGGCTAAAAATGATTATCTTATTTGTGCCTATGGTGCCAGATATTTGAAAACCCATAGAGAAAAGCATTTTATCAATGTAACGAGTAGAAAAATGAGAGAGCTTTCCAGAATATTACTAGAATTGAAAAAACTAGAGCCAACAATACACAATCTGTTTGATGCTCTGAAACCGAAGCACTATGACCAACTAGTTGAAGCTACAAAATCAGTAGCAAACTACGATACTGTTAATGACACATTTGATTCTCCCACATTTGCCATGAATATAAGTACCGCACTGAAACAGTGTTGTGACATTGCAATACACATGGTTATAAAAAATGAACCATCAGTTGAAACAGCTACTTATGAAGCTAGCCTCAAAACGATGATTAATTTGCTGCAATCAAATTGGAGATTTGATGTCTCTGGCCGCGCTGGCAATGATTTGAACTTGAAAAAATTCAATAAGGTGACTATTGTGCCATTAGCAACAGACCTTAGGCTTTTAAAAAACTACTTGTTGTTGAAAGCAGGAGAGGCAGTGAACGAAATGCTGCTGATGCGAACGCTTACACTACTCTGCTGGAGACAGTTTATTGTAGGGTAATACTACTAAATAGAAAAAGACCAGGTGAACTGCAAAGGATGTTTCTTCGCACTTATGAGAGTTCTGAAATTAAAAGTAGCGCCTATGAAGAATTTGAAGAAGTCATAACCGAGGCGGAAAAACTACTGATAAAAAATCTGAAAAGAGTTGTGATACGAGGTAAAAGAGGCCGTGGTGTACCGGTATTGTTCAGCAACGATATACAGCTTCATGTCAAAGAATTACTCAAAGTGAGGAATAATTTTGTCCCAAAAGAAAATCCTTACTTTTTTGGCAAACCACGGCTCACCGGGCCAATTCAGGGATATAAAGTAATTGCAAAATATGCTCATGCTTGTGGAGCAAAAAATCCTCAAGCAATTACTTGTACCAGGCTTAGAAAACACCTTGCAACATTGAGTCAACTATTTAGTTTAAACGAAAATGAAATCGAACAGTTGTCCAATTTCATGGGACATACACCTGGGGTACATAAAGACGCATATAGGCTACCCGACGATTTGTACCAGACCGCGAAAATTTCAAAATTGCTAATTCTGATGGAAAAAGGACAAGCTGGTGAAAATAAAGGAAAAGGATTAGAGGAAATAACAGTGGACTTAGAAGAAGATCTATTAGAGGAGAACGGGTGTGATGACGAGGATGGAGAAGATATGGAAAAGGAAGAAGAGGATCAGGAAGAAAAAGAAATAAGAGAAATGTTATCTAATAAAACAGTAGTGTCAGAGCAAAAAGGCAAGAAAACGGAATTACCTGTGGCTGTCAATAAGAAAAAGCGTATTCTTACACCATGGACTAGTGAACAGAAGGAAGCAGTAACGTTCTTCTTTAATAAGAATATAAAGATGAAAAAAGCTCCAAAAAGAAAGGACTGTGAAGAAATTAAAAGTTTATACCCCGAGTTGCTAGCCAATAAAGACTGGCTAAAGATTAAAGTTTTTATACAAAATGCGTATTCAAAAAAAAGCAAATAAGTTGTAAAATGTGAATGTGAATGAAAATAAAGAAATCAAGCTCACTTGAGTTCATTTATTTTGACCGCTAGTTGTACTTAGACTGCTATCAGAGGGTATCATTAGTAAATGTGTGTATTTCTTGTCATAGTTTATGGAAATATTTAATATAAACGTTCATACCACCTTGTGTTGCACTGCTATTTGATAACTTTTTCTTTTACTTCTTTTTTTTTCCTGGTCCTCTTTTTCATCCTCCCTCTTTTCGACATGCTCATTATCAGATCTGCTCTGTTCCAAAAGAGCTTTTACTAAATCCACTGTTATTTCTTCTAATTATTTTCCTTTGTTTCCGTTAGCTTGTCCTTTTTCCATCAGAATTAGCAATTCAGACATTGATGCATAGGGGCTGCGATTTACATCTCCATCTACCCCTAGTATATGCCCCATAAAATTGGACATCTCTCAGATTTCACTTCCGTTAAATTAAATAGTTGATACAATGATAATAATAATAAACGTCTTTATTATTCAGATTCTGTACAACTGGTGAGTTCATGATACGAGTTGTTTCTAAGCCTGGTATAAGTTCGCTTCACACTCGATAGGTGTTTGGCAATTACTTCCAAAATACCGGAAGAGCCGTTAAAAATTCATTGGCAGCTCTCTCCCTTTTTTCAGTTCAAAAGTATTCCACTACCAGATATTGTAAGCATTAACATTATAAGCATGTTTAGCCGATATGTTATTTTCCATTAGTTTGAGTTGTGCGGCTAATGGCACAATGGTTATCATATCATTTTCTTCCAAATCTATGTTACCATTACTGCGGCTATATCATCAAATCTCCACATTGACTGTAATTGTCTTGGGCCTAGGTTGATACAAAGTTGTGCTGACTGATTGCTCAGTTCATATAACTTCATGTAACTGAGTGTCAAATGCGTCTCTACCAATTTTCTTATAAATTTCGGCTTCAAGTTACCAAACGAATTGATTTTACTTCTTTCAGTATTATTTATACATTCTTTTCGTTGGTAGCGCCTTTCTCTGTGAGATATAATCTAAATAATCTTTTTCTCCAAGAAATATTGTGTCTAAAAAGTTATAGTACAATTTGACATATAATAATATCTATTTACCAATAACTTATATGTCATAGATATAAACCAAGTTAATAATTAAGCTGAACTGAAAGATGGTAAATTTCGCAACACTGTCGGAAGCAAAATAACCATTGCTACGTTAAATATACAACTTATGGAATCAAAATAGTACCACTTACGTACAGATTTATACTGATGGTAGTAATTTAGATTGTCATATAGAGGGAACCAAAATATTTAATTCGCGAAAAAAGTGTATACCGTGTATATTGGTGCCTTCATAATATGGACAATAAAAAGTATATCGGTATAAGCAGAATTCAATGAGGAACCTATATACACATCAAAATGTATGCTAGCGCAACTCCTAACGGTGGACGCAGAATGCTTTGTCTTTAAAAGGAAGCAGTATGGTCTTAAGATGTAAATATATATATATATATATATATATATATATATATAACTTGAAACGTGGTCATTGTCGTCTAGACCAGTTAGGTGAAAATTAAAGCCTTCGCCTTTTGTTGGGACAAAATTTAAGCAAGGAGGACTCTTTATACTTTATTAATCTCTCTAGCTTTCAATGGTCTTTGCCATCATCATCAGGAGCTGCAATTACGTTGATAAAAGTAGCAACAATTGTGTAAAATGAATTTAAATTAACTTACAGTAGTATGGTAGGATGTTGCTAAATGTTATTTACGTTAAGGATGAGGGAAACACCCTCAAGATATGTTGGATAAGAACTTGTCAAAGAATACAAATGTTAAGCAACTGAACGTCATTTACTCATATTTGCTAAACTGCGAAAAATTGGAGCACTTACACATCTCTCCAAATTTTGAGTTTTCACAACCATAAATGGAATCTGTTTTTTGTTCTATTCCACCAAAAGATTCCATTCCATTCAAAATTGAATAATTGTTTTCATTTAGCAACATCCTCACATACTATTGTAAGTTAATTTAAATTCATTTTACACAATTGTTGCTACCTTTATCAATGTAATTGCAGCTCCTGATGATGATGGCAAAGACCATTGAAAGCTAGAGAGATTAAAAAAGTATAATGAGTCCTCCTTGCTTAAATTTTGTCAAAGTGCCCAACAAAAGGCGAAAGCTTTATATATATTGTTGAACTGCAATCAAAGAGCTTGCTTTCACAAGTTGATCAGCATCTATAACGTTAATCCGAGGTATCTGGATAGTGGTAAATTGTATGTATCGACCAATGCCGATATCGTTATTTTTCAGTATCTTTGATAATTAACAGCATTTCATTCTGATATCAGCGATTTATGAATAAAGTAGTCAGAATGTACATTCCTGCAGACACTATATGGTCCTCGCGGGCGCATGCGTAAATCTTTATTTTACATAGTTTTGGAGATCAAATCAGATGGGTGACGTCCCCCATTTTCCATACACTGGATAAACCAATTTGTGACGTTTGCCATGACTCCTGCTATGTTGGCAATTTATTCCTGGATGTTGCTCTTCAAACTTGATGGGTCCTTTGACGGATCACATATACACAAGATTTCAAGAAAAACCACGATCACAGAACATCCCATGAAAGTAATCCTCAACGACAAAAGCACGCTCCTCACAAATCCAACGCATGATGGAGACTGAACTGTGTCGGGCCAAAACTTTCTGAAACAAGACTGCTAGCGATGAAATGACGCGCGTTTTAAAAAAGGTAAAAGTTATGCTGCCACACCCTGTATCTAAGCATAAATTCTCCCACAGTCTGACCACCAAGCAATTTATTTAGCCCAGTTTATACTGAACAATGTGTCGAACTTTGCATGTGTCATTCACTGGTAGAAACAGTCGTCAAATCTTCAACGTTCGTTCCTAATTTTTTTTTGCATTTAGTGCTTTCACTCAAATCAGTCATGCACATACCATACAACGTTTCACACAGCAAAACAAGATATGTATGACCTCTTCAACTTGTGCCTGTGGCACATTGCTTTTTCTCTTATGTGAATGATTTCAAACCAAACTGTGTCTATTCGTGTTACCTAAATAAATACCTCAGTAAAAAGACTTCAATTACTGCCTTACAGTGAGTGATATTCCTGATTCCTAGAAACTTCGAATGTCTCCACCACTGCTTCTCTCCATATCCTGCTGCCAATAATGGCGCGCTACACATTTGCATGTGCTGTTCTCTCAGATGAATTCTCTGTTATTTAAATCATTGTCTTCCGTCAATTCCAATCACTCGAATTAATAGGAGTCTGCACTTTTTTCAGTTTGAATGGCAAGCTCAACGATTGGGGCATCCGATTCTGCAGTTGAATAACTACGGAAACTTCAAGCTCATCATGACTAATGTAAGAGTTTTGTTTTAAGTTTTGTGTTTTACGGTCATGTGAAATGAAATTGACATGTTTGCCTTCCGTCTTTGTGAACAATACCAACCGCAGACAGCGCTGTTTCGTGCTTATTAGCAACACATCAATGCGGTATAGGTCTAGCAGTCCTGGTGGCAGATGAATGGAAAGCAAGGTAGTGGGTATGCCCGTTTGAAAAACTCAAAATACTGCACGTAATTTTCACCATACAGTTTTTACCATGAGTGTATCTAAATATACTAAGTGACATATAAATCCGAACACCCAGTTTAAATGGTTTTATTTTAATAAAAGTTGGTGAATGTATTTATCTTACTGTAAATAACAAGTGAAAAAATGTTCAGCCTTATCAGTTGGACATTCCGGTTTTTATACTGCTTTTTTTTAATTCACTAACGCTCTAAAAATGAATATTTCAGCCGCAGTAAAGAATCAACGTTGGCGGATTTTGGTTCTTGACATCCTTTACGATCGGTTACGATGCCTAGAGTACGGAGACCTGTACGATTTCGTCAACTTAGTGAGTTTGATAGCAGCCGTATAGTGGGACTTCGGGAAGCTGGACTTTCTTTTCGGGCAATTGCAGTTAGAGGGCAAAGAAGTGTAGGCACTGTGGTTAGGTGTTGTCAGGCATGGCTTCGAGAAGGCCGTACGCAAAGAGCAAGAGGCACTGGACGCCGCCGTAGAACAACAGACCGTGAAGATAGCCGCCTAAGATTATTGGCCTTAAGGGACCGTTTCTCCACTACCAGGTCCATTGCAAATGAAAGGTTTGCAGAACACGGAAGACCTATTGGCATGCGAAGTGTTTACCGACGAATGAGAAGTTTTGGCTTGTTTTCATACCCGCCACACTGGGTCCTCCCTTTAACTCGAGAACACCGACGTAATCGCCTTGAGTGGTGCAGACAACGGTCACTCTGGGATCAGGAATGGAACAGTATTGTCTTTAGTGACGAGTCTCGATTTTGTTTAGGCATGCACGATAGTCGTGCCAGGGTTAGAAGGCGACGTGGCGAAAGGAGGAATCCATAGTTTTTTGTTGAAAGACATGTTCATCACACTGTTGGAGTTATGGTTTGGGGTGCTATAGCTTATGGTTCCAGGTCACCTTTAATCTTCATCAGAGGTAACATGAATGCGCAGCGTATATGTCACTTAGTATGCTTTGTCTGAAAGCTTTTTCGTTCATTTCAACGAGCTGGGTCAACAAGTACACAGTTCCACAGCCTGCGTTGATTGTATTTAAAGACACATTTGTAGACGATAGATACATACCTGATGAGTGCCGTTTGACTTTGTATTTTTGAAGAACGTGAACATAATTATCTACTTTGAGGGACATACTCGTATACCTGTAAGGACGAATTGGACGCATTTCACGGTAGACTGTAACATTTGTCGTCAAAGGTTGTCACTGATGTCAGGACGATTTTTTTCCTTGTGGTATCTCTTTAGGTACTTTGACGATCACTTTTTTTGATCATAGTTTTTTGTGCTAAATTTTACTAAGTGAAAATAGTAACGAAAGGTATATATTTTGTCGATTTTACAGTGGACATCAGATCCTCATACTGAATACAGGCAACCAGTAGTGCAATAATCTGGAATGCTTGTCGCAGGGCACTTTTGACAATTTCGTCTATACATTGCTTAAAAAATTTTCAAATATTGTACAATATTTAAATGTTAATCGACTGTGTTTCGTCATTTCATGATGTAACGGTGAAATTAGGTTTCTATTGATCAAAGAAAGTAAGATGTCTGATAGACATATTACATGAGTTTAAAGGAATAAAAAAAGACAGATAGCTCGACTATAAGCCTCAAAGAAGTACTTGGGCTGAAGTTACAGAAACCTTGAATGAGAACGATACAATGGAGACTAAAATCAAACTGCTGCAAAAGTGAAAGAATATCATAAATCCAGTACATCACTACGAAGATTTCAGGATCTTCAGACTTGATCTCTAAAATTAAGCCACTACTCTTGCTGGAAAGTATTTCACTTAATTTTTGTGGTTCCTGTTTCCCTTTGTAGAACACATTACCAATATTTCCTTCAATACACCTTGAAATAATAGGCTAGGCTATTTGGCCCTTTTTTAATAATATTTGTTCTGTTAGACCAAAAAATTATTAGTTTATTTTTTCCTGGCCTAAAAGGCCGTTAAACCTTAATTTGAAAGTATATTTTTCTTAGAGAGGCGAAAATGCTATCCGCCGCGTTTGGCCCAAATATTATACTCTGACGTCATACCATTTATAAATAGCAGCTGACAGTAGCATAACCTCTCAAACTTTCAAACATGACATGACATGTTAGCTACCAGTTTACATGAAAAATATAGTAATTATCGTCATTGCGTCACCTGAGCATGCAAAAAAATATCGATAAAGGCCCCAAAGAAGCTGTGGATTAGAATACCCATGGAAATAAATAAACTCAACAATGCTATATTCAAAACATATTTTACATTTCATTGTGCAAATGTTACGACCTTGTGTAAGTTAGGCGTAACCTATGCCGTCATCTCCGTACGATTCCCTTGCACAAAAAGAAATAAAATTATTCAGAGGTCATGACGCATGAGCTTAGTTTTGAATGAATTCTGGAAACGGAGATTCTGCAATTTACCTATCTTTTCTTTTGATGTCAGATGCGCTGTAATTACATATAATTCTCAATGTTCCTCAGCTCAGCAGATCAGAAGTCTGGGTAGAAGCCATAAAATTTACCAACTATCAAAGTGTCAATTTTTGGCAAATTGTGCTTTCTGCTATTTCAAGTCTAACGTACATGATCGTTTTTTTCAATAAATCGCGAAAATCATAAAATTTTACATTGATTTGGAATTATTTATAAATGTTTAAAGAGGACAATGTTAGTCCACAAGTGAAATACGGATGTTTCTTTGCTTACAATTTGTATGATGTCATGGCCATTAGTATCATTCCTACAATGGTAGTACGCCTTTTTGGCCTCCTTGATTTTCAAAGTCAGCGCTCTCATATTGTGAGGTTATGGTTTCGTTTTGAACTGCAGGACATTTCAGGCTGATAAAACAGATGATATAAATCAAAAGCATCAGAGATTTGATGCAAATATACTAGGTGACATATAAATCCGAACATCCAGTTTAAATGGTTTTATTTTAATAAAATTTTGTATAAGTACTTAATGAAGCATAATAAGTAAATGATTGCACTGCTTTAAAGCCCTTTGACCTTTAATAATGTGGTGATGCACCCTGATGTGCTACGCATTCTCCAACGCGCCTAGGCATGCTTCTGATCAGGTGGTCAATGTCCTCCTGTGGTATCTCACTCCAGGCAACCACCAACTCCTCTCGAAGTGCTTCTAGAGTCTGAGGAGGACGTTGCAAATTGAGCAATCTAATACCCATCATATCCCACACGTGCTCAATTGGGGATAAGTCGGGAGATCTTGGTGGCCATGGTAACAATGTGACATCATTATGTTGAAAGAAGTCTATTGTGACTCTTGCAACATGTGGTCGGGCATTATCTTGTTGGAAAGTTGGATCTGCCAGGGTGTCAAGATAGGGTAAAAGATGGGGTTCTAGAACTTCGTGGTTATAACGCTGCGCGTTCATGTTACCTATGATGAAGATTAAAGGTGACCTGGAACCATAAGCTATAGCACCCCAAACCATAACTCCAACAGTGTGATGAACATGTCTTTCAACAAAAAACTGTGGATTCCTCCTTTCACCACGTCGCCTTCCAACCCTGGCACGACCATCGTGCATGCCTAAACAAAATCGAGACTCGTCACTAAAGACAATACTGTTCCATTCCTGATCCCAGAGTGACCGTTGTCTGCACCACTCAAGGCGATTACGTCGGTCTCTCGAGTTAAAGGGAGGACCCAGTGTGGCCGGTATGAAAACAAGCCCAAACTTCTCATTCGTCGGTAAACACTTCGCATGCCAATAGGTCTTCCGTGTTCTGCAAACCATTCACTTGCAATGGACCTGGTAGTGGAGAAACGGTCCCTTAAGGCCAATAATCTTAGGCGGCGATCTTCACGGTCTGTTGTTCTACGGCGGCGTCCAGTGCCCCTTGCTCTTTGCGTACGGCCTTCTCGAAGCCATGCCTGACAACACCTAATCACAGTGTCTACACTTCTTTGCACTCTAACTGCAATTGCCCGAAAAGAAGGTCCAGCTTCCCGAAGTCCCACTATACGGCCCCTATTAAACTCACTAAGTTGACGAAATCGTACAGGTCTGAAAGTTTTTTCACTTGTTATTTACAGTAAGATAAATACTTTTACCAACTTTTATTAAAATAAAACCATTTAAACTGGGTGTTCGGATTTATATGTCACTTAGTATAGATGTCTATAACTTAACCTTAAAATAGAGCGCTGTCATGGAACAGCAGAGATCTAGAATTACCCCTGCCTTTCTGAAGGACAGGAAAAACTATGAAAATCAAGGAGGCCACAAAGGAGTCCTACAATTGTAGGAACGACTTACGACACGATACTATATTCTTCCACCAAAGAGAACCTAAAAGATTGTGTTGATACCGAGCAGCTCAAAAGCAAAGGTCGCAAGGACTTTTGTTACGACAGTCTTTATTGGAGGGGCCCATTTGTTCTGTGAAATTAGATATGAGGCAAGTAACCTATTACAGCGATATCACACTTGAGGATACCGACTAATAACACCCGTTCGTGACTCGATGCTCAGCTTACATCTTGTCTGAAAAATAGATACAAGCAAGATAGCAGCCGTGACACGTTGTACGGAACGATGCGGCAGCGTGGTGGTAGGTGAGCAGAAGAACAAAGCCTTTATCAGTGCCTGCAATTATGTACTGTGTCAGATTATAACATGTGGTGGAAAGCCAATTAGTGATGAACCCAGTCGTACGGAACTGCGTCAGCTCCCCTGCACAACAAATTGCTTACGTTGCACACAGGAAATTCGACCGCAGCTACCAGGGGCGTACGAGAAGTGCAGCTT